CAGAGATATGTTACACACGGAATTTGCAGTGTCCTACGTGCGTGCTCAGTGGTGTACACATGGCATAAGGCATGTACACGCCAGTGAGTACGCACGGCAAGAAGTACATTGCTCGGCAGTGATCCCACACAGCAGTGAGAATGTGCATGGTAGTGCGCACAGCGGTGAGTACGCACGGCAGGTTACGTGCGCGGCAGTGCATGTGCCAAGGGGCTACGTGCATGGTGGCATGTGCTTCAAGAAGCATGTGCGACGGCTAAAAAAAAATAAAGCAAGAAAAAAGAAATCAATAATATAGTTTATTTTAGATCTATTAATATAGCTTTATGCTTAACTTTAAATATTTAGTATTTCTCATATTTCAGATAGAATTACGACATATGATGAATCTTTAAAAAAAAATTGTAAAATCAACACATGACGTGTACAACTTTTAATTATCAATAAAATATGATTTTATTATTAACAAAAGAAGAGATTAAAATTAGCTATTTTAAAGTTCAAAATTATATATATATATATATATATATATTTAGATTCATAATAGTGGTGGTCAAGATTATAGAAATTTACTTCCAAAAACCTTCCCTAAAATAAATTTTGAAGGAAGATTAGATATTAAATCCATTAGCATTTCCTAATCAATATACAAAAACCTAACCTTCGCGTTTTATACGTTAATCAATATAAAAGTCGCTAATCACCACTAATAGCATGCTAGATAATCTCTAGCACGATGAATCCTTTTATATTCTCATTGTTGTGCTTTGTTCTAGAAAAAAATACGGACCAATATGATAAAACATAGTCTTTGAGTGTCAATAATATAAAAAAAAACAAAAAAGCCAAAATCCTAAAATGTACAAAAATAACTTTATAAAATATTCATTAAAAAAAAAAAAACATTGATAAATTTCAAATATAAATGTTAGGAGAGATACAAATAAATAAATAAAAAAGGAAAGACAATAATAAAAATTTAATGTACAGGTAGCTGGAAATAAAAATATCATTATTTTACGACCCAAAAAATTGTACCAAAGTATTAGAATTGAGAGAATGGATAAGAAACTATTTGAAAAGAATGGAAAAAGATAAAGTCATTTTTTAGTACTAAGCTCTTAAAAAGAGAAAATGTGTAAATGAAGGTTTAAAGCATTAAAATTTCAAAATGTAAAAATATAAGAGAACTAATGTTGGTTTCTAACTTTCTTTGAAATATAGAACAAAAAATAAAAGAACAATAGCATAAAGCATATGGATGGAGTTGGAACATACCTTATTATCATCTTCTTGCTCAATTCGCCCATGTGCTATTTGTATATGATAAATTCAACAGCACTCATCAACTAAAAAACTATGAATCAAAAATATAAAATCCTATAGCACAAAAAATATAGAGAAGCTAATTAACTAAATAAATAAATAAATAAAGAGACAAGATATTGTAACAGTTGAAAAGCCTTTACTATTATTAAGAGTTACAATATATATTGTATAAAGTCCCTTTATGTTGTAACGTCAACAATTAAATTAAATTTCATATTCATCAAATTTTTCATATAATATTGTTTATAAAGGCTTGAAGGATAGTTTATATATCGTTAAGTCAATAATCAACATTAGACATTTTCATATTATAGCCACTTTTATTATCTGAATAATAATTTCTTCAATTAACTTAAAAATCATGACAAAGTAGGAATTGTTAATAGATAGGGAGGATAAATGAGCAAAAGAAAATGACATGTAGCACAAAAATAAGCAGTTTCCTTAATAAAAAATAGACAAATAAAAAACATATTTAAAGAGCAAAAGAAATAATATAAAATTCTTAATATATATAAACATAAATAGATATACTCTTATCCCTCTCTTTAGTTCTCTTCTTAATCAAGATTTGATAATTTGGTATCCTAACTCTTCTGGCTCCTTCATAGATTCCTCTTTTCACTCCTCTATGCTCCTTCATAGATTCTTCTTTTCACTCTTCTATGCTCCCAGATCTTACCCCTGCCTCTCAATTAAATAAGATATGGCCTTTTCTCAATCCCTCATAAAATTCAAGCTTTCCTCTGGGCTCTACTTCATAGTAGAACTCTAATCTTAGACCAATTACAAAGAAGGGGGTTTCCCTACCCAATCGATGCATTCTTTGCTTCCAACAAGAAGAAACTATCCCTCATCTTTTCATTCACTATGAGGTCACTTCCCTCCTGTGGTCTGCAATCCATAAGCTCTTTGGATTGCAATGGTTAACTCCCCCTTCTCTAGACAGCCTTTTTCTCTGTTTTCTTGTCCCCTCCTTTCTCCAAAACCTGGGATGAAGCTTTGGCAGTTATCAGTTGTTGCTCTTCTATAGAGCATCTGGATAGAAAGAAACTCAAGAACCTTAAAAGAGACATTTCAAAATGTAGTGATTCCATTTTTTACTCAATAACTGTCTTGATCCCTCTCTGGGCTAAAGTTATTCCCACCTTAGGAATGGGAGGTACCCTAACTAACTCGATAGGAATTCTACCCTTCTTCTCACATTTTATTGGAATCTTTGATTCCACCTTCACTGAAGCAAAGGCCCTCCTAGAAGGCCTCAAGCTGGTGCCTCAATCTTAGACGAAGTACCAAGGTCTGATTATGAAATCAGACTCTAGATACTCGATCCTTTGGGCAAGCCACCAGCCTCAACTGCCTTGAATACTCTCCCATATTTTTTTAGCAAGTCACCTTCTTGTGCAGCTTGATTTCCCAAGTCACCTTCAAGCACATTCTTCCGGGGGGCTGGCGGGGGGNNNGCGGAGAGAGAGAGACGACGACGACGACGAGACGACGACGACGACGACGACGACGACGACGACGTACTACTACTACTACCTTACTTACCTT